GAGGACCACAATGGCATGGAGGCCGATCTGGACAAAGACGAAGTGTTACAGCCCCAGCAGGGCGAACTCTCGGGAGAAAAACTCCTGACCACCGAATATTTGGGAGTAAGTACAGCAGTCCACCGGCTTTGGGTGGTATTGGAGTACGCGGGCAAGACTCCGCAGCCCATAAGGCTTCCCTTGCTCTATTTTCAAAGCGGTGGGATGTGATCCTCTGAGCTTCGAAGCTCCCTGCATCTGCCCTAAGTGCCGATTACCCTTCTCTGTCAACATCCAGCTCATGATTCCGAATAAAACTCCAGGTTCATTCCCTTTCCGAAAACCATGCCGTTTATTGAATACACGGCACGGTAACGTTGAAGCAAAACTAACGCTGAGGTTCCCACACCAATTCATAGACTTAAAACAATTGCTTTCCCAGCCAAACCCCCAACCTTTTACGTAATCCATATGAACAAGTCCACTTTGTTACAGGAACCGTCCGCTTCAGATCCACACCTGTTCTGGTGTCCTTGACAGGGCTTCAGGCTCTCACGGTCTGCGGCTGAATTGAAGAAGTTTCGTTTTTCTGTCTACCCACTTGAAAGTAACACCTACCCCTCCCCTTAATCTAAAGGCGAGTAGCTGCCAAAGTTTCATCCTTGACATTCACACATTCGTAGACCTGGGCTTTCGCGAAACCCAGCGTGTGGAATGGGGGAAAGAGATGGTTGTTGCCCCAGAGCAGGGGTCTTCCAACTTGGCCCTTGTATGACTTGTGGACTTCAGCTCCCAGAATTCCTCAGCCAGGCACACGTGCCTGGCTGAGGAATTCTGGGAGTCGAAGTCCACAAGTCATACAAGGGCCAAGTTGGAAGACCCCTGCCCCAAGTGTTACGTGTTTCATTTGGTGCACAGCCCTCTATGACTAACTGGCTGGTCACTCCTTTCTGCTTAAGACCAAACTGGACTATTCCAGTGACTTTTGGATTTATGGGGTGCATTAGAAAGCTCCCCAACTCCTCGGTGTTGAGGCCTTGGCAGTTTGAAGATGTGTGGACTTCGACTCCCAGAATTCCTCAGCCACCAATGACCCAGTTCTTGCTGTCATCATCTGCTCCTCCTCCTCCCTTCTAGCACTGATGATGTTACCTAGTTAGGTCATGAAAGGTCTGCAAGAAAGCAACCCAGCTCAGAGAGCACTAAGGACCCCACAGTTCTCCTCCTCTTCCTCCTCCTCTTCCTCCTCTTCCTCCTCTTCCTCCTCCTCCTCCTCCTTTCTAGCACTGATGATGTTACCTAGTTAGGTCATGAAAGGTCTGCAACAAAACCACCCGGCTCAGAGAGCACTAAGGACCCCACAGTTCTCCTCCTCTTCCTCCTCTTCCTCCTCTTCCTCCTCCTCCTCCTCCTCCTCCTCCTCCTCCTTTCTAGCACTGATGATGTTATATAGTTAGGCCATGAAAGGTCTGCAAGAAAACCACCCAGCTCAGAGAGCACCAAGACCCCACAGTTGTTACACTCCTCCTCCTCCTCCTCCTCCTCCTCCTCCTCCTCCTCCTCGGTGGCCTTTGCATGAATGTTAGTCTAGACAGGCCAACTTTCTCCTTTTTTCACGGTTCTTGGACTTCTCCCTTCCAAATAACTTCTCTCTCTCTCTCTCTCCCTTCCTCTCAGATCATGACCAACACCCCAAAAGCACGGAAGAAGACCCTGCCCAGCGTCCGTCACAGCGTGGACGAGCCTCTTCAGAGACCCGTGACCCCCAGCTATCACAGGGCACATTACCCAACGTAAGTCCGGGCAGACCCTCCAAAATCTGGAGATGGGATGCTTCCGATTCACACGAAC